TCGTGGATGTAACGGCACTTGAACAATTTCATGTGGATTTTCGGAGCCCCAGATACGACAATTTTGTTTATTGACGTAGCCACCGAGCGAGAAATGGGCCTCATCATTGATTGCTGAAGAAAATTTTGTTTGAAAAATGTCCATTTAGTGCTTGTTGTTCCAGAACCCAATTGGCGTATGTTCGACGTAGTCCATGGTCTGCATGTTTCACTTCTTATGTGAGCTGGACTTTGTAAGGATGGAGATGTAAATCCAAATGCAAAATACGCCATGCCGAGCCGTAACATAAACCCAATTGCTGAGCGCGCCGTGGAATTAACAAATTTGGTTCTGCAGTTACACTTGCACTAACAGCAGCGATATTTTCGAGAAAGCGTGCATTCCAACGGTGCACTGGGCTTTGAATATCTGTCACCGAACCAGTCTGTTCAAATTTATTCACCATATTCAAAATCGTTTGCTGGGAGGGACAATTATGCCGACCATAATCTGGCCGTAAAACACGATATGTGGCCACGGCAGAATCACCATTTTTGTAGAATGTTTTCACAATTTCCAAGCGTTGAACGGTGGTAAAACGATCCATATTCGACAATGGCAAGCATTCAACTAAACAGATATCTGTTTTGTTAACATGTGTCCTCGACCACTAGCGAATGTCACGCGTGTACTTTCTCAAGCACGAAATGGATAATCCTGTACTAAGCTAGAACTGTAATGGATTCAAATCCAAAATGGGAGACTTCTATCAAACATTGAACCATAACAGTTCCAAAATAGTCTTTCTAAACGAGACTAAACTGCAGCCAAATGACAAACTCAAACACAAACACTACATCACCGAAAGAGCCGATAGAGTCCAAGATCGAGAAGGGGGCGTTGCCTGCTTAATGCACAAATCAGTGAGATATAAGCGCGTTAACACACTGGGGACAAATATAGAACACATAACCATCAAAGTAGACAAAAACCTTTGATGGATTTCCGGGGGCTATGCCCCACCAAATTCATTAAGATCAGCCAACGACGTAGGGGTCTTCTTCCCCAGAAACGGGAGAGCGTTACTGGTGGGGGACCTCAACGCCAAACATACGAGTTGGCAGAACAATAACAACAATACAGCAGGCAACACCCTCTTCAACTACCTCATTAATAATAGAAATGTGCAACTTCACCAACCCTACCCACTATCCCAGCTCAGGCCAAACCCCATCCATAATTGATGTTGCCCTTTCGAAAGGGCTTACTAATATCGAGGTCAAAACAATGAACTTACTCGGCTCAGACCACCTGTACTGGAAAAACCCTCCAGTGCCTGAAGAATCGAAGGTATACTCGTACAGGAATTTCGATTGGCCAAAGTACAAAACAAAGACTTAACGACATAACAGTCATTCCCGATCTAATTTTTAGCATTCCAGAACTAGAGAGGCAAGTAGACATCCTATCGAAAAATATCCAATCCGTAAGGGATCAGCTGGCTCCTAAAATTACCCTAAAAAACAAAACAGACACCCTCCCTGCATCCATTGTAGCACTGATCAATGCACGAAACAGGGTCAAAAGAGCATGTCAGAGGCGCCCCAACCCCCTAGATCGGGAGATCATCAGGCTGATGAGCCGTGAAAGAGAAGAGAGGGACATACAAAATCATAGGAATAATTTCTGGATGAAGTATGTCTCCTCCCTAGAAACCAAAGACAACTCCTTGTGGAAGCTGGCGAATAACCATAGGCGACCAGGATCGCAGCAAGCGAGCCTGATCGTCGGAGGCGCCAGCTACTATAGAGATGAAGATAAAGCGGAGATATTCTCAGACCATTTTGCCACCGTCTTTGAGGAGGCTCCCGCTTTGGGGGCGGAACACAACAATATGTCAAGTGTAACGGATCCTTTGCCATGCAAAAATATCCAATACCACCCAAAGTGCTACAACGGATGCTTACAACCCTAGCCGAACTGACAAAACTAATCAAAAAACTGCCTAACAGAAAGGCCCCAGGACCAGATACAATCACAAACACACTGATCAAAAACTTGCCGAGGAAAACAATAATACACTTCCTCCAAATATGTAATGGAATCATGATGTTACAACACTTCCCAACAGCCTGGAAGCATGCAAATATTATTGTTTTCCACAAACCCGGTAAGGACATCACACAACCACAATCGTACGAAACTATCTCCCTACTAAACTCACTGGGCAAAGTTGCAGAATGGCTAATACTTAGCAGGCTAGTAGGCGAAATCCACACCCTCAGATGCCTACCCCCGGAGCAGTTCGGATTCAGACCAAACCACAACACGACTCTAGCAGTAGCGAAAGTGGCTCAGGATACTATTGCGTCATTCAACAACCACGATAGCACTTTAACTTCTCTCAGCGCCAAGGACATCTTGAACGTCCCTACCAGGTGCGGCAAGAATGGCTTTAGACCCCACTGAAGTAGAGCTGGATTGATGTCGTCAGGTCCTGGTACTTTGAAGGCGGAGAAGCCTGGAATTGCCCAACCTATTTTTTCCTCATATATTATCTGATTCGCTAGTTGCCAATCAGCCACATAGGGTGTAATATAAATGTTTGGCTTCTGTCGTCAATACGTGGTAATAGCTTTAGATTGTTAGTTGACACGCACCAGTAGTTACACCAGCAGGTGATTCCTTTGGCCTTGTCATCTTGTCAAGTCTTGTCTCGTAGTCTAGTGGAATATATGTATATTTTTGATACGAAGTATTTTAATTGAAAGCATAATACAGAGGGTATGTATGCTACCTGTGTCTGATTCTCCACAATTGTGGTTGTGGAGTCAAGAAAGTGGGTTGCTAGTAGTAACTCTGTGCTTTCTTGAAAGCTGGCAATGAACGTGCCATCCTAATTGCTCAGATACCAATTTCCTGAAATGGGTCTTTATTAAGAGCTTTCTGAAGTCTGGCCGTTTCCGTATAGTTTTCAATTTCGTTGCAGTATGTCCTCCAGGCCTCTCTTTGTTTTTTTTTTTGCACGATTTTTTTATACTGGTTGAGTTAGTAGTACCTAAGGTTCCAATCCTCAGGTAGTTTGGTGTTTTTAGCTTTATTGAAATCTTTTCTTGTCGTCGCCCTAAGGTGATCCAGTTCCTGACACCACCAAGCAGAGGTGTTACCAGAGTTTTGGAACATTCTCAGTGGGCTCGATATCTTATAGGATTTTATGATGGCATCTTGGATGGTAATGGCATACCGCTCCAATTCTTGGTCATCATTGGGTTTTTCAACTGCAACCTCTCGTAGAGCCCTTTCCATATCTTGCACGTCCTGTGCAATATTGGTTTTTCTTGGGTCACGATAAGGTCTTGTGGTTTTAGGTGAGCAGTTTAATGTGAAAGTTATCCATCGGTGATCCGACATAGAAACTTCCTCAGATACGCGCCAATTATGGATTAAATTTGATATTAATACTGGTTATATGTATTATAATTTGACTACCAGAGTTTAAGAAAGTTGGTATTGTGCCGTCATTACATATGAACAGATAATTGCCTATAATCATAAAGTCGTACAGAGACTTACCTCTTGGATTTATATCCTGACTTCCCCAGTTGATGTGGTGCGAGTTGGAGTCACACCCAATTACTAACTCCAGATTGGGGGTCTGGCAGTGCCTGACTAGCTCTACAAGGTCCCTGTTGGGTGGTAGCGTCTCAGCATCTGTGGAGAGATATACCTACTGAAGCCAGGACAATGGCTCTCTTTTGCCCATTGTTGCTCTGCATCAGTTTGAAGGTAGATAGGTCTGACGTACATAGCTGTGTCAGTGGGTGGGCTGTGTATGACCTGGGATAATTGATGGCCGTCCTAGTTTGGTTATTGCTGTGGTTACTGAAAACTCGACCAGTTAGTGTGCTTAAACCTATAATTTAATTTTGTCATATCCAAAGTTCTTGAGTAAGTGCTATTGTGTCCTGCGCCATATCTAGATGGCGGCATAAGATTGCCGAAGCTGCCCTATATTGTGGTGCAGGTAACACTAAATAAAATTTACCTTATTAGGCGCTTCCTCAAGCTCGATACTGGTGGATGGGTGGCGGTTGCTTGGAGCTTAAGGCAGTCCTCCAAGGAACCAACGGCAGAATAACCAATCAGATCATCCGCGGAACGTAAAAATTTTGAAAATTTGAAGCATTCAGCAATATCATTACTAAATATTACAAACAATAAGGGGCCCAAATAGGACCCTTGCGGGACTCTAGAGAGATTAGGAAAATTTTTGAACACGAAACTATTTAATTTGACAACTTGATATCTATCTGAGATGAGAGTTATCTCGCTACACACTCCAACAAGTATCCCTGAAGACTTGTTGCCTCAAGTTTATCAAACAGGATCCCATGATTTACCTTGTCAAACGCCTTGGAAAAGTCAGTGTAGACAACATGAACTTTCCCACCGTCATCCCAGACGCTCGATAGGAAGTCAACAAAGGTAATCAAATTCAACTCATATTAAAAAAAAAAAAAACCAAATTGCTCATCCATGATTGTTGAACTCAAAGAAGATCCTAAATAGTCAGCAACCATTTTTTCGAAGAGTTGAGAATACAACTGAGGTTACATCTTTGATATTTCGATTTTGAATTAACCTTAATTCGGACTTTTCTTCATATCGTCCTAGGTAACAAAGTCGAGTTTTTATCTTCAACTCTACTGAAAACCAAGATGGAAATTTACGTTTAGATAGGTACCTTTTTTTTTGTGGCACAAGAGCATGAATAGAGAAAAACAAAATATCATAGAAAATATTTACCAAGTCATTCATCGAGTGGAATGATAAAATCACATCTCAATTTAAAACCCAAACAGTCATCCAATAGTGTTAAATCAGCGGATTTAAAACTATAATAAAAAATTCCACTCTGTGGACCACTAGAGTTAGTATAATCTGCTCTACACCGCACTGAATCCGAAAAGTTAGTGGTGGGTGATAGTCATCAGCTAGAACCAAAACGCATCTAATCTATTTTCATCTACCCAAAAAATAAACAAACACAATTATTACTAATAAATCTTTATTGTCGCCCTTTTAAGCACCAGCACCTTTATTTTTGTACTCCCAGAATCTGTTAAAGTTACCATCGTCCAAATTTCTATTGGTGGCTGTATTTCCTGCAAATTTCCTGCCACTCGTGGCTTTCTCATATGGTGCATTCACATTTATCACATCCACAATTTCAGTTTCTCTTATAACAACCTGGCCATTAGGTTGCTTACTTGAACTAGCATCCCAAGCTCTAGCCAAATAACAGCCCTTATTAGCCTTAATAGTGTTATCTGCGGTAATTTTGCTGTTTAGAACCAAGTAGCCGTACTTTTGGCTGTTTTCTGTATTCGGAGCAAACACTATAGCCGTATTTCTAGGCCTGTCGCCTCTGGCAATGATTTGAGCTCCTTCAAATACAGCCGAAGCAGATCCAAAGATAAAATCAACATCTCCAGTAATAGTGGGTTTGTTGAAGTACATTCTTTTACCACTTGTGAATAAAGTGTCCTAGAATTTTGGTAAATGTTCCATTGTCAGATTTAATATGAAATTTACTTACTTGGAACCCGTAGAAGTGTACTTGGTTCCAGTTTTGTTTGTCTCCATCAGCTCTGGCAGCTACAGCCTGGCCATCCAGAGAAGGATTTTCGATTTTAACGTAAGCGATTTCGAAATTATCGTTTTTGGCCCAAAAGACACTAGAACAGCTGGTTCCTATAAAAAAAAAAAACAGAGTCAATTTGATGATATAAAAGAATCTTCATAATTACCGATTGTAGCACTTTTGGCGCAAGAATTGTACATTGACCAAGCCGGATCTCCATTTTTGTAGTTGGCACCATTCGGGTTCACTTGCTGAGCATATTTGGAACCACTCAAATTAGCACCTTGCGATAAAACAATGTGCACATCAGTTGGTTTACCAGGGGTACCGTAAATAGTTATTGGCACAGAAGTTTGTGGTATCAAAACTGCTTGCTTGTAGGTACCCGGCAGGATTCTTATGTACTTTCTTGTGGTACCTCCTGCCTAAATAGTAACTCTATGATAATCAAATGAAAATTATATATGCGTTTGCTTACTTTTATGGCAGCATTTACAGCTGCCTGGATGGTACCATAGCCGCCTTTGCCCACAGTGTAGTCAGCTTTGCTAGTTGATACGGTACCAGGAGTCCATCCTTGTAAATAAGCTTGTTTGGTGTACTTTGAAGCTTCAGCATCGGATAGTACTGGCCTGGTACTGGTACCGGGGTATTTTTGATGATCAGCAAATGCGGCAGCAACCAACAAGGCTAGCAGGATTTGGTGCAGCATTTCTTCTCAGTTGTTTTTGAATCACTTTGGTGTACTGTATCGATTTCCCTGCTTTTATATATAGAGACAGATTTCGAGTGGATGTGTGTTGAGAAGTACTTGAACTATTTACGCAATTTATTATGTTTGCTAAGTTCATAGTTTTAAATCGATTTTTGAGTGTTCGTATTTACTTATAGAATTCCGTAATCCTTTTGACACTGGCAGGATTATTGAACATCATCTACAATTCGTATGTTATTGAATTTTATTGTTCTCACAGAGGAGCCACTTGAAAATCTCAAGTAAATATTATTGGTTTAAATGTAAAAATCCTATTTAATTAAAAACAAACAAAAAAAAGATAACATCCTAACTATTAAACTATCAAAGTTTTTGAATGTAGCCTAGGAAAATTGTTGATTTTCAAAAAAAAAAATCCTACCCAAATGAATTTTTCAGGGATGATAGGGAGCAGATGGGTGATCATAAAACCGAAGATATCAAACATTTACCCCTCTGGCGTTTTGCGCTATAGGGGTTGGAAGTGCACCATTGGCGATTTCTTGGTACCTATTGATTTTAGAAAAAAATGTTTCAAATAAAAGATGTGCAGCATTATTTGATCTACAATGTTTATCTAAAGACTTTTTCGATTAAGGGCCGTTTGTGGTCGTAAGGGCCGTTTGAAATTTCATATTGAAAATAAAAAATTTTAACCAACGTCAAAAAAATTTCTACAACACATACAACGTTTTTGCTTTATGAAGTTTTTACTCACCCCCTGCCGTTTTTCAATAGGGGTAGTTTACAGTTTTTTTATTTTTTTGTCAAAAAAAAATTCTCAATAAAAGTTATATAAGATTACATTTCCTACAATTTTTCCCTATAAACTTTTTTTGTAACTCACCCTCATTCAGCGTGGGGACACTTCCCTTTGGGAAATTTTAGTTTTTAGGGTTTTTTTTATTTTTTTCTCGTCTTAAGTGCAATTAACATTGTCTTAGAAGGATTTTTTTTCCACCACCTTTTTGTTTTTAGGGGTAGTTTGCCTATTTTCAATTTTACAAAAAAAAATTAGGAAGAAAAGTTGTTCAAAATAATAAAATGAACAAGTTTTCTTAATAATTTTTTTTTGTAAAGTTGAAAATAGGCAAACTACCCCTAAAAATAAAAAGGTGGTGGAACAAAAAAAACTTTGTTATGCAATGTTAATTCCAACTTTTTATGTGCACTAAAGGCGAAAAAAGAAGAAAAAAAAACAATATACACCCCTAAAAACTAAAATTTCCCTAAGGGAAGTATCTGCTCCCTATCATCCCTGAAAAATTCATTTGGGTAGGATTTTTTTTTTTTGCAATTCATGTATTTTTCGACAATTTTCCTAGACTAATGCTGATGAATTAATATTTATTATTTACCTACCTAGTCTTAAAGTATCAGGGGCATTTTTTCTAAATAGTAATAGTGTCTAAGTTTATCAAACAAACATAATGAACTTTTAAGTCAATGTCTTAATCTATATACTAATAAAAGAATTATAGTTATCAACTATATTTCAGGTTCTTGAATGTAACTCATTTAGAGAAATTTCGAAAAAAAAAAAAACCCAAATTCAAGAGCCGGGAATAGATGGAAAATGTGAAAGAAACGACTTGCGATCAGGTGTTGATACTATAGAAAAAGCTCCGTCACTACAAGAAGAACTCATCAAAATGTTTCAACGAGGAAGGTTCACGTTGCGGAAATGGTCCAGCAACAAACCAGATGTAGTGATGCTGAAATTATCCACCCAGAAAAACCAAAAGAAAATAATTAAAAGTAAAAAGTATTTCAAGAAAATCTGAAAACCAACACGAAAATAGAAGAACAACAAGTGTCCAACACAGCCTGGCTTCAAAATGTTTGGAAAATTTTGCTTCCACTTAGTCCTCTGCTGCAATTCCGAAATATATTCCTTGGACCAACGGGTCCAGAAATGCTGGATCATTTTTTGGAGTCTCTTGAACTTAGTGAGTCTGTTTTCAGGTACAGTAAGATAGTCTTCATCAGGAATGCTGGTTAATTCTTCTCCAATAAGAAAGTGCGCAGGAGTTAATGGTTTTGGATCTGAAGGATCAGGGCTAAGAAGAGAAATAGGCCTAGAATTCAAACAAGCCTCTATCTGAGTGAGGACAGTGGAATATTCTTCAAACGTTAGCGGAGTAGAACCAATAATTCGTTTAAGGTGGAACTTTGTAGATTTCACCCCTGCTTCCCATAGACCCCCAAAATGTGGAGATCTAGGAGGTATTAGATGCCATTTTATACCATCCTCGCTAAGTTTGGATTGGATATTACTGTATTCCCTTTCAAAGAGTTTATGAATTTCGTTTTGAGCCCCTATAAAATTTGTGCCATGATCCAAATAAATATTTGAACTCATGCCTCTCCTTGCAAAAAATCTACGTAGACAAGCCAATAATGAATTAGAAGATAAATCGCCAACAATTTCCAGATGTATAGCACGAGTGGATAAACATACAAAAAGGCACACCCATCCCTTTACTGTTTTATAGTTTCTAGTTAACCTATCCTTTACAAGAACAGGTACCATATAATCAATTCCACATGATAAAAATGGTCTACTTGGCTTTATGCGTTGTGATGGTGAATCTCCCATTATATGTTGAATACCAGAGGCATCAAATTGAAAGCACTTTCTGCATGATCTAACCACCTTCTTAACTAGATTTCTACTAGAGATTGGCCAAAATCTTTTTCGAATAGAAGCCAAGAGCATTTGAGAACCCGCATGTAGAGGTGAGTTGCGATTTCACGAACTGTGATTTCGTCACTGCTACACGTCTGTAACAGTCACGTCTTGCTCCAGTCCCACTCAAGTAGCAGTGACATTTTGTCACGGCCACTTCGATCTCTAATCGATACAGCACAGACTAAACTCAACTTAAAGTGATGTAAATAATGAAATATTATTATAAATCACATTGCGGTGACGCAGAGGGCAGACTGGAACATTTCTCTCGGCCGTGAATGAACTGCGATTATGTAATGTACCATTTATATGTATTACCAGCACGGCCAGTCAAGTCACTGCTATTTGTTACCGTGACACGACTGAAGCAGTCACCGTCTTGTCACAGTTCCAGTAAAATCGCAGGTTGGCCCACCTCTGGTTAATACCAACCCGGAGGTGATTCGATATTGAAAAATCGGCCCACAGGAACGAAAAAATGTAGCAACCCTAGCACAAAAATTGCAGCAACCCTGCCGCAAACGTCAAAAAATTTGACATGTCAAAGTCAAAGTAGGCCTTGTTATTTTTGACAATTAATTCAAAATGGCGTTTGTTTGTTTTTTGTTTTGAGAGCCCGCCCATTTTTTTTGATTCGGAGCCTCGTTTTTTCAGCTAAATTTAGTGTTTTTTAAGTGCAAAGTAGCTCTAAAACCCTCTGAGTAGGAGAAGAAAACAGATAAAATAAGATATAATTCAAGTGCTCACTTTGTTTAAAAGAGGCAGAAAAACCTTATCTACCTCTAATTTTAGTATTTAAAACTAGAAATTTTTGGATGAAAATGAAGAAAACTCAAAGCCTCGTACTAAAAGGTTTTCCTGATCGAAAAAGTACTGAAAAAGCGGAAAATCCAAAGAAAATCCCGTAAAAATGACAATCCAGAGTCTACTTAATAACACTTGAGTTTTTGTCACTTATCCCATTGGAAAACTGGAAATTTTTGGCAACAAATTAAAGAAATTCAAAGTATCGTCTTCTCAATTGGTTTTCTCAATTGAAAACGGCCTGGAAAAGCGGAAAATTCGAGGAAAAACTGGATAAAAACATTCAAAAATGGCCGATTGTCAAAATTGGGAAATGACAGTGTACGATGTTGCCACATCTCAAATAGCAAAAAATTACATTTTAAATAGTTTTTTGTTTAAATAATTAATTAATAATGTTTATAAAATGATAAATTCCGAAAATAATGCATTGGAATCTTATTTTTAATAAATTTCAATAAAAATGACATTCCAAGGCCTGCTTAATAGTAAGACAAAGAGTAGGAAACAATTTAAGTCTAAAAATGGAAAAATAGAGCAAATTCAAAGCCCCGCATTTAAAATCATCTTTTTCTAATTGAAAAATCCTGATGGAAAAGTAGAAAATTCAATGGAAAACCAACATTCCAAAGCCTACTTGAAAAATCAATGTTTTGGTCACTTACTCCATTGGAAAACTGGAAATTTTTGGTGGAAAATGGAGAAACTCAAAGCCTCGAACTTTAAAACGATTTTTCCGATTGAAAACGGCCCGGAAAAGCGGAAAATTCGAGGAAAAACTGGATAAAAATGTAAACTCGTCAATTGAAAATAGCCGACTGTCAAAAATGACAAATGACATTTATTACAAGGTCTACTTGAAGTTGACTACAAGCGGTGTTGCCACATCACAAAACTTCAAAAAAAATCATTTAAAATGGGATTCTACTTGTTATTTAATAATTAAAAACCCGTTAAATAATTAATTAATAAAGATTTTAAAATTAGAAATTCCTTAATTAAGGCCTCAAAAACTTGCTTTTCAATAATTTTTTTCTCACTTACCTTTTGACCGTAAATTAATGGATCTGAAACTAGAAATTTCTAGCAGAAAATGGAGAAAACTCAAAGCCTCGTACTTTAAACCAGTTTTTTCGACTGGAAAAACCCTGAAAAATTGGAAAATTTGAGGAAAACCTAAATAAAAATGTAATCACAACACTTCAAAATGGCCGAATAATAATTTGATAGTGAGTAAGACAAAGAGAGAGATAAAGTAGGATACTATTTTAGTCTAAAAATGGAAGTTTTTGGTGAAAAATCGAAGCATATTTAAAGCCCCGCACACAAAACAGTCTTTTTCCGATTGAAGAAGCCTTGAAAAAGTGGAAAATTCAATGGAAAACCAACATTCTAAAGCCTACTTGATCAAACCAAGGTTTTGGTTACTTACCTCGTTGGAAAACTGAAAATTTTTGTCAGAAAATGAAGGAACCTCAAAGCCTCGTACTTTAAACAAGTTTTTTCGATTGAAAAATCCTTGAAAAACCGGAAAATTCAAGGAAAAGCTGGATAGAAACACTCGGCTGTCAAAAGTGTCAAATGACATT